GAGACAGTATATATATATTCATATATATATATTCATATATATGAGCCTATAAATTATTAAGTAGTATCCAAAATGTCAAATAAAGTACGGGTTGACCCGTATTATTATGGAAACCATGTTTTCTTTCAAATCAGCTGTAAAATCACCTACTTAATAATTAATACTTACTGGTACTTAATTTTAATGCATTACAACGGATCCTAAACTAGCATGTATCTTTTTAACACTTTACTGCTTGTGCATTGAAGTGTTCAATTGTACCTTGGTTGTAGCACAAGTTAGGCTTAATTATTAGACCATGGAGGAAGTAGAAATGGCTTCCAATAGCATCAATGCCGAAGAAAGAAATACTAGAAGTTGGAAACCAAATGATATGTTATACAGGTTAAAGGATAGGCCAGCTTGGCTCACCACTATTACACTGGCTTTCCAGGTGAGTAAACAGGTACTGTATACCATGTTATATAATAGAAAACATTTCAGGACAGCGTCTTTCAGCGAGGATCCTTTTTAAAAAGATTCTTTATCTTCTGTTGTGATATTTTGACATGCCAAATGTCGAATAAGAAAAAATTCTCTCAAAAATTCAATTATAGTATTTAATTGCTATATAACTTTGAAAAATACTCACACACCTCCTCCGCCTCCTCCTCCTCCACTTCTTCCTCCTTTTCCTCCTCCTATCTTCCTCCTTTTACTCCTCATCTTTCTCTCTTTTTTTTACCATAACCATCGTCATCATCATCATTTTCAACTCCATCCTGTTCTTCCTTCTCCTCCTTATCCTTCTCTTCTCTATCACCATAACCATTGTCATCATCTTCTACTCCATACTTAATTCAACGGGAAATCTAATTTTCATTTGTAGAACTTTCTGATGCTTTTTAGTGGATGTATGGTAATACCTTTCCTCTTCGCCCCAGCACTCTGTATAGAGGACAACCTACTGGCCCAATGTTATTTAATCAGCACTGTGTTGTTTGTATCGGGAATATCAACTATGATTCAAACTGCTTTTGGTGTTAGGTAAGTTTTTCAAAGTTATATCATAAATGTATAAACTGATAAAAATCAGTATTAATATTATATTTAAACTGTTGGTATATCACATGTAATGTAGGATCATGGTATGTTACTGTTGTTCAGAAACCAGATTAAATATTTAATGTTAACAGTGTGATGTTCTAACGTTTGGATAACATTACTTTAGCGTAATGAGGATTATTCAAGCTAAAATTTTAAAACCTCTAAAAAGTGAATTTGAAATGAATGATCATTTAATAAGCTGAAATAAATTAAGGATACCAGTAACTTTAGAATCCTTACAATGATGTATTTTACTCTTTGTTTCTTTTCCACCATCACCATCTTCCTCTACAAACTAACTTTACACCTTCTTTTCCAAAAATTACATAAAAATTCGAAAGTGCTTGGTATCCAATTTTTTTTTTTTTTTAGTTTTTTGTTTTGTGTTTTTTTTCTTAATGGGCACCTTTACAGAACCATTTTGAAGATGTCTTTAAATTCTCTGTTTCTAAGTACTGGTATTAATTATGTTCCTTGTCATATATTTCAAAGTTATAAAAATGTGTCATTGTAATATGTTGAGAGGCGCTGGACAAGCCGCAGCGAAAACAAAATAAAAGATTTATCATAATATTTGTGGTCTAAAGTATGGTAATGTCACTTTTTGTCAATTATAGTGAACATTATTATTTGGGGTGGGGTTTCGTACTTTAAACGGATGATTTCTTTGTACATCTCATCTCCATTCATTGTCAAGACAGTTCTTTGTAAAAAAAATAAACCAGTTTTATATGACGTTTCTTCTGGCTGACAGTTAGCGATTTCGTCAGTTGTCTGCAATAATAAACGTCCTGTAAAGAAGTAACATAAAATGGGTTATTTACATGGAATATGAATGGATGGGTGAAAGTCTGAAGTAGACGTATTTCCAGTGGGTCCTTCTGGTGGTGATTGGGCAGTACACCGGGAGACAATCCCTACTCCTTTCCGAGAGTGTACTGCGTTGTTTAACTTAACATGACATTTCTTCTGACAGCAATTTCGTCAGTTGTCAGCAATATGAAACGTCCTGTATTAAAAAGAAGTAACATAAAATGGGTTATTGAAATATGAAGCAGACTTACTTGCAGTGGTTCCTGCTGGTGGTGATATGTCAGTACACTGGGAGAAAATCCCCAAATCTTTTCCGAAGAGTGTACTGTGTTGTTTTACACAGAGGCCATAACACACACACTGGGCCAATCGAAAGACGGTGCGCTATCGTAACTTGTATATCAGCCCTCCAACTGAAACACAAGAATAGTCAGCAATAAGAATTGAACCGGAGACCTAGAGATCTCCACGGTTAAACGCTCACACATGCTATTGGCTACCACCAGTTTAGCCGACTAAGATAAATTATCTTTCACGAATACTGTACCAAAGTGTTTGATCTCTATTCATTTTATGATATTAATATCATGAAGGTTTTCTGAAATTGATGAATTAGCCTGGGTTCCAGGCCCTAATTTTGGGTTACTCACTCTTTATTTCTCTTAGTGCGTGCCACACCTAATTTAATTGGCGTCCCATACTCGATTTCTTTTTTTTAGAATTTTATTCTGTCTCTAAATTAACTTTCTCGTTGGTGGCGATGTCCAAAAAGAGAAAAAAAATTTAAAATAAGAGACTTGTGGTAAATCTATTGATGAATGTGAAAACAGCTTTTCTTTAATTTGGTGTTATATTTGTAGGTTGCCAATTGCTCAAGGTGGTTCTTTTGGTTTTATTGTGCCGGCTCTATCGATCTGCAACCTACATGGAGCTTGCCCATCACGAACAGATAATGGTGAGTTCTGAAGTTAAAATATTTGTGTTAATTTATCGTGTTCACTTTCTTTTTGGAATGGAATTAAAATATATTAAAGGCAAAAGCTCTCAGCTTAGGTGATAACCTGAGCTAAGAAAGATAAACACAAATACATAATTGAGTAATACATTCCAGGGCTCTACAAAACGCCAATCAAGTATAAATATAGTAAAATTCCTGCCTTCGACATACTTTTTTATAATCTTTCCATTGTTATTACTGGTTTTACGTCTTATTATTTGTATATAAATTTTGTTTTATTGGAATATAAAGTTGAATATAACTGAATTGGATTTTTCATAAGATATACTTTAAATTTTACATTTGTTTTCATAATGTGCAACATGTTTGCTATTTAATTTTCTGGTGATGAATTCTTTTGTAATTGCTAATGAATCTTTAGGTCAGTTTTAATAGTTTTATTTATTTTAACTTATTACCATTATTATTATTTTCATTATCACCACCATCATATTCATTATTTCATTATCATTTCATCATCATCATTATCATCACAGTCATCATCATTATCATCATCATCATATCATCGTCATCATTTTCCTCATCATTATCATCATCACCACCATCATCATTACCATCATTACCATACCATTATCATTATCATCATCATTATCATTGACATTATTATTCTGGATCGGCCACTATATTTTTTTACACAAAAGTGTACCACAAGAGCATTATTATTTGTTTAAGTTTGTATATGCTATCTATACATATATTTTATGTTTAAATAAACCTGTATTCATACTTTACGAAGAAAATAATTCTGTCGATGAAATGGAGCAGCCGGAATGGAAAAAACGATTACTGGAGGTAATATATAATCATTATACTTCTCTCATATTAGTGTCATCAACTATGCTATTCCTGTACTCATGTCATTCTAATTAAAATTCTGTAGTTTCTCTGGGCGATCATGTAAAATAAATTATCCTATTACTATAAATATATTTGCGACTCAAATAAGATATATTTTATGTAAAATACTGAATCGTGATTCAGTATTTTGAACTTTGTCATCTTCAGAAACGTTGATATAGTGCTTGGAGCTTGTTTAGGTTAATCAAATTTAGTTGATAGGGTCACTCGTTTAGTGACAATAACATTGTTGTTTTGGTGTTCGACAGAGGCAATACAGTAATAATTAGCTAGTATTTTATAGTGCACAATTTATTATTAATATTATTATTATTATTATATGATCATTATTTTAATTCAAATTAGAATTAGATTTGTTGGAAGCACAGCTTTATGTCCAATGTGAATTTGATGAGTTATATTTTGAAGGACCATCTACATGGATATTGCTATTAATTTAAGAAATTCTTAAACATTTGCAAGAGAAACCGAAAATAGTTATATGTTTTTAGTAGAAAAATCTATAATTTTTCTTTGCTGTTTTTAAGTTATGACCTTGATTATTATAATATAGTGTTATATATACGGTAATTTTATTAACCGGTCATGTATTAACGTGTCATATCAAGACGTTAATTTTCTGTCATAAATCCTTTAATTAAAAACCCATATTTTTTATGACACTTTACCATTTCTATCAAAGGGTAAAAATTGTTGACACTTTTTAATTTGTGACCTTGATTATATAGCGTTATATATAATTTTATTAACCGGTTTGTATTAACGTGTCATACCAAGACGTTAATTTTCTGTCATAAATCCTTTAATTAAAAGCCCATAATCTTTGACACTTTACCATTTCTATCAAAGGGTAAAAATTGTTGACACTTTGACTTTTAATAATTGAATTTTAACGATTTCATCTTATCATCATTTGTACCAAAATATACTGGTATGTTTCTTTCATTGCAGACCTCATTATTTACTTTATTGCTAATTTGACACGAACTTTAACCACTCACATACTCAACCACCCTGAACTTGTTAACAAACTTGTTAACTACTAATGGAAATGGTGGATAGGGCACTTGCCTTCATTCCTGGAGTCCTGGGTGCAGTTTTTAGTGAGGGGATATTTTTACGACCGAAACAACTCCCTTTCTTTAAGCATCAAAATGATACTTGGTTAGATCGTCATTTGCGTGTTTGTTTTGTGCATGGGCGGATCCGGTGGTCCCTATTTAGAGGAAAATTAAGAAATGATACATACATTAATGCTTTAGAATGGATTAATACATGCTGTTATTTATCTTTAATATAGAATTCATTGGTATCCAGACACCAAGTCCTGTACCTGGTTTTCCAAACACTCCCATCAAACTAGCTTAATTGCTAACACCTTATATTCAATATACACAAACCACACACAAAACATCATCTTATTTGATTTGACTAATTTTTGTATGTTTATGTCATGAAAAGAAAATGTATTATAGATGTCGCGCGCTGACAGTCATCACATTCAAACAAAGACACAAAAAAACGACTGCAGAACGTTTAGACTTTGTTTATTGAAGCAAGGAAACATCAAAACTTTCCAACAAAGAGAAAATGAAAAACCCCAACAAGTTAACGGCAATCATTAGCCTGCAAAGACAACACAACAATTATCGGTCTCACAATATTATACTAAATCTGAACCAGTTAAATACATACAATAATTAAATAGCACTATTATAACCATCATTAAATGTATTTATTGTCATATTGTAGCAAATAGACACAATAATCATTCGTAAATAACAACTACACATGTTTTATAGAATTGGCATTACAGTAATTAAATTTTCCCTTTAAATCAGCACATTATCAAAGATGTAATAGTCATAAGAATCACAATTATCAATCTTACATAAGCAACAATACCAAAATTCAATAAATAATTGGCCATCTTGACTTACAGATCAACAGTAGACCTAACGATGCAAACGATACGGTACTCAAATCTTCCAATCCCAGTCCTCACAAATATAGGAAATTCAATACTTTATTATGATACAAAATTAAACAACGAAATACCAACTAATTATGAGTTCTAAACTATTTTTTCCAATAAACATAAAATATTCAATATAGTAGTCATTAACTAACACAGGTAATTACCACTAATAAAGCAATGCTACAACCATGAACAATGCAATGGTCTACATTATCACAGCTTCATCAACTATAAGAAATGTAATTAACATCAACATATATATTTATATTTGGATTATTTATTTGTTGTTAACTACTACGGTATATTAATACAAATTCATTACATGATCAAACTCATTACAGAACAAACTATACGCCTACCTTAATTCGGTTAATCATCCTATAGCATCAGACACGACTAACCGCATCAACGTACTATTGTCGACTGATGGATTTTAGCATTCAAACCTGCCGTGCCCAACCCCGAACTAATTACCATACCAGTGTATCGCACACAATAAATATTTTACAACCAGACGTTTCGACTGTTTAAAAGTTTGAATCCTACATAGAAAAATAGTGCATTAAATATCACTATTTATTTATACTGGTATTAAATTGAAGGGATAATTTTGTAGGGTCCGCCAGAACCATGGTCTGCAACAGCTAGTATAAAAGATACGCATTCAACTAGAGGTGCAGAAAAGTGGTCTTTAATTGGAGGTGGTATTTATCGGAGTGGTCTTTAATTGGAGGTGGTATTTATTGGAGTGGTCTTTATTTGGAGGGAGACCTATTGAGAAAGTCTATTAACATGACTTTTTTGCAAATTGTATATTTTCAATATATTGTGTTTTTAATGTTGTCATAAGTAATTTTGAATACATAGAGGCAGATAATTATAAATTTATTTGCATGGATTTACCATTCTTGTTTTTTTTTTTTTCAATTTTCAAATTTGTTTTTGTATTTTAATGAATAGTTGAATATTTTGTACATTTTGATATCTTCTCCATATAAAGTGTGTACAATTTTAAAAAATCAATTTGTTATATCTCACAATGCAAGGTTCAAGGAGCAATTATCGTCACTTCATTTATTCAAATGTTCGCCGGAGTCTTCGGTTTGATTGGTTTAGTACAGCTCTACTTCACACCAATTGTAATAACACCAACCATTGGTCTCATTGGATTATCCTTGTTTGAAAAGGCCTCCGAAACCGCTGGACTGCATTGGGGATTGGCAGCAATGTATGTATATAAGGAGAGTCCTATAGTATCACATTTGAGATTTAGTTTTTGTTAAAAGCATCGTGTGTGTATCTTTGTCTTGTGAAAGGAACTCGTAGGACAGTCATATATTCACTATTGGCAATCTTTGGTGCATGTGTTTGTCTGTCTATAATAAACTGAATAAATAAATACACATACTAACATTAACAATATTGTGAACAATGAAACAGATTTCACTGACGGTTGCAACTTGGAATGTAACTTCATGAACTCCATTTTCAATTTTGCACACACTAGGTGGCGGTCACTTAACAATAGAGTACTGTACTTGGATTTATATAATTAGCAAAATGTAATAGTTTTCTAAGGAAATGGCCATTTTAAAGCATTTTTATTCACTAGCCTTACACTAGCACCTCACCTAATGATCAAGCTCCTCACTTCACCTTTGCACCCCATCGGCCCCCTCCCTCACCTCATTTCTAGACTCCTAGGTACGCCACTGGCTCAGTGTAAGAACCTGAATGTTGTACAAGAAAAACATAATTCGTTTGTTATAGAAATAGCTGTTGATTGTATCTATGATAATTTTTACCATTTGGTAATGTGGGAGGACTTGTATGAAGGAGGAATGTATCTGTCGTGGTTTGTGTTGCCAGGATCGAATGCATTTGATTTATTCTCACGCATATCTGGCTAATGGATTGTTTTGACTAAAATTAAGAAAAGAGAAAAAAAACTCAACAGCAAAAACTTGAATTTATACAGCTATAAACCTAATCAATAGCATCTTGATATTATTCTTTTAGAACCATGGTCAGTGTGATTGTGTTCTCTCAATACCTAAGGAATGTCAATATTCCATGCAACTGTATTCCTGGTACTACTTCACGTTTTCCATTATTCAGACTGTTTCCGGTAAGTACAACACCACTAAACAAAGCAAGAATCTTTTAACCACAAAGCTATAGCTAAACTCACGGACATCTACAATGTAAAAAAGAAATCATAACCATAAGATATCCTGTAGACATAAACATAAAGTCCATGTGATTCATAATTACATATCATATGGAGCTATAAATTCCTTAAAATAGATAGTTACTACAAGAAAGTTTAGATTAGAGCTTTTTTTTTTCATTTCCAATGAAAGCACCAGTGGCCTAATTTGATAAAAAGTTCGAATAGAGAAGATCCGAATTTGAATATCGATAGGCACACAATTGTTTAATACACAGACTCTCTTCTTTACCATTTACAGCACAATATTTTTCATATAGAGCGAACGTCACAACTACTTGACTGAAAAGGCAATGCTGAGTATTTAAATGCCAGAAATGATTGAATGTCACAAACGTTGATATAATGTGCGATATTAACTTAGAGGGTCAGTGATCAGCTGTAAGATATACACTTTAGTCTGTACATTATTTTAGCAAGCTGTGTCTTAAATGAGATACATTAATATAATGTGTTTTTGGGAAGAACCTAGAAACAGCAAAAAAAGTAATGCAATAAACATGAGATTGAAATGTAATAGTGAAGAAGAATTTGACAGAGAATTAAAAAAAATCTCAGCCACCATTGCATCTGGAATCTTGGATCTGTTGTTAAGCTCTAAACGATTTACGAGGCTTTTATTTTATCTCCAATTCTTGTTGATAAGGTTCTTTTTGGAATATTTTTCGGCTGGTTCGTGGCATTTATTCTTACGGTTGCTGGTGGTCTACCGGACGACCCAGATGGCTATGGCTACTCAGCTAGGACGGATATAAGATTGAGTGTTCTTTCTGAATCACCTTGGTTTCGAATACCCTACCCTTGTAAGTTAACAAACATGATTATGGCTATTTCTTTTTTCATTTTTTATGCACATGGGCTAAGGATTGTCAATATCAAGTAACAATCCTTAACAAGACAATTAAACATGCAAATCGAACTATAAAATCTCGTTATGAAGCTTTGGGCTGGGGTTGAGTTTTGGTTATTACACAAGCCTAGGACCTTCGGATTGAAAGTCAAGTATCTTAACCACCAAGCTATAAAACTATATCCTACTTCTGGTAATTCGCGTAAATGAAATTGTAATTCGATTGATCTAGCTATCGGTAGGGAGATCGATAGCGATCATTCTATGGATAGACTATCTACATCTAAACATTTGGAAATTTATAAAATAATTCTTTACATATAAAATAAAAATTACAATAGGGAAATTATCGTTGTACATGAACATTTCTGTAAAAATAGTTTTAAATGTTAGGTGCGAAAGTACTTTCAAATGTCCAATATTACGGTACATTACAATTGAATAAAAGCGCTATTTCAATAATTTAATTATCTCATCTTTTATCTTAGGTCAATGGGGAATTCCAACAGTCACAGTAGCTGGCGTCATTGGCATGTCAATCGCGACTTTCATCACTATAATTGAATCACTTGGCGATTACTATGCATGCGCACGTTTTTCCGGCGCTCCACCTGTACCTGGTCACGCTATGAATCGTGGCATAGCAATGGAAGGAGTTGGTTGTTTAATTGATGGTCTTATTGGTAGTGGCTCCGGTACTACATCATACAGTCAAAATATAGGAGCAATAGGGATAACAAAGGTTAAGAGAACGTCTAAATGTTATCAGAATATTATTTATTACAATAGCAGACCGTCCTTCAGAATGGATGTTTAAGACGTTGAGTGTTGTTTACAACATGGCTCATGTACACATTAGAGTACATAGTGCATTATTTGGAATAGAGTAAAAAGTTGGCAACTTCTCTACTAAGAGTTAAATGATATTGAGTCAGTAGTACTTTTATTTATTCAACTGGGATGGATAATTAAGATAGTTAATTTACTTTATGATAGGAATGATGTTTTACCTTTTACCATGACATTTTATCGTGCTGAATACTCAGTACGTTCCCAAATAATTCAATACAATAACACGTCAGGTAGCGCAAAACATTCCTGATGCAAACACACATCGGAATTACTTACGTTATAACAAAATATTTACTTATTAACCATGTATGGTAATTTTGTTAATGTTTTTATTTATATGCATAAATATACACAATTACAACAGTGCTACGTAGCAACATTGATTCCTACTTATTTAATAACAATAATTATATATAGACCTAGACCTATATATTTTATTCAATTGGCTTAAAGATGTATTGTCCCCTGAAAATTACAACAGCATTATAAAAAATAATTTTGAAATTAATTTGCTTATTTTGCAGTAACGTGCAGATTATTGACGTGAGCATAGACATTATTGAATTATTGATTTTTATACTTGATAATTATACAAATATTAAAACACTTTCAGTGACTGGAAGTGTTTCTGTTCTTTTTCGCTGTAGAGTTGAAGGTAATTTTTTACTTCAAAATGAGCTAGTTAATTTAAAAAAAAAAAAAAAGTTTTTGGTATTATTCATGGGACAATACATCTTTAAGCATCTTGATATCATTGGGCATTAATATTATATCATCATCATACAATACAATTCACATTTATTAAAAACAAATTACATAGACCTATGTTATGATTATTATATTTTTACATATATTGTTTTTTTAAAAATAAGTTTTAAATGATATATATTGGATAATTTCCTGGAGAAATCTTTGTCATAAATGCTATTGTTATTGTATTGTATCAATTTAAGGTGGCCAGCCGTACAGTTACGCAAGTGTCAGCCATCATTATGTTAGTTCTTGCAGTATTTAGTAAATTTGGCGCACTTTTTGTCTGTATCCCGAGTCCTGTTATAGGTTCTGCGGTGTTCGTTCTATTCAGTAAGTATATTCACTTTTAAAACAGTATGCTTGTAAAACATTTATAAATTATACAATAAGATATAATTGGGGTTGAAGTTAATATTTTTATTTTAATTCGTGCTGGTGATTATATTGCATTTGATACGGTATGTGTTGGTGTTTATTCATTGATCATATTTATACAGTCCCTCAACCTAAAATCGTTTTAGACTTTTAGGTAGAAATCAGGTTTTAAGCTCTCGTATGGGAACTCTCCAAAAAAAGTGGAAAAAACAAAAACACACTTTGTTGTCTGTTTTATTTACTGTTTACCATCCAGAACAGTAGTAGTAGTGTAGTAAAGTACTTTTCGGCGATATGCCAGTGTATGTAATTCCAATCTATGTATACAATTCTCATAAGAGGTAGTTTTCAAGTTAAGAATAATAACAATGCTCTAAAGATTTATCAAATTATTATTGGTAGTGGTGGTGGCGATGATGGTAATGGGGATTACATTGCTTGGTTTCTTTGTAGGTATGATTGTTGGTGCTGGTCTCTCAAATCTTCAATTTATCGATTTAAACTCATCTCGAAATAACTTCATTGTTGGATTTTCCTTCTTCCTTGGTCTTGCTCTTCCAAACTGGATATCAAAAAATAATGGCGTGATTGATACAGGTAAGGTAAATGATAGTATTTAGTAGCCTTGTTTTATAATAGCACCACTGTCTGTTATTTTTTTCATTATATGCCTATATGCTCTCTGGAATAAAAAAAATACAATGTTTTTAAAACATTGCATTATTTTAATTATTATTTAATATACAAACTATGAATTACCACTGCTTGACAAGGCAGGCATGTATTATTTATGGAAAGTTTATAAACGCTCTCGTAGTTTCAATCAATTGTCAACGAGTATAAACAAGTAAATGACAGGACGTAGGCCTGTATACCGTCAATAGTTTGAATACCGTAATAACCGTTTTTTATTGAGGTATTCGACCTCTTCAGGGATCAACAACTGATGTTAAGTAATAACGCTTTATAGAAATTCAGACGATAGTGTAAACCAAATATTTGAGCTCTGGATAGTTTGTTTACCGTGACCTCCGACATAGTCATATGCAGTTGAAACCACTAGCTTTTATGATTAACTTCTATCCATTCAGGTGTAACTGAACTGGATCAAGCTATCCTAATTCTTCTTAAAACAAATATGTTTGTTGGAGGATTCACTGCTTTCATTCTGGACAACACAGTACCAGGTAAATTTAATTTTAGATGCAATATATTCTCATTTCATAATGTCATTCCCACCCCAACAGACCCAACACGTATACAAGCATAATATACACTAAAGATAATACAAAAGATCAAACATGCACGGTGAAATAATCACTTTCCATGCACTTGGACTTTTAAATCTAATTAATTTAAAGTTTATACAAAATAATATATATGAAAAACACAATTAGGCATATAACGAATAATCATGTAACCTAAGGTGGGGTCCATGTGAGTTACCTTTGCATAGTAGGTTAAGATGATGCCAGTAAGACATCAGAGTAGGTGCGATTACATCTCTGCCTGCTGACCTTCGTTTTTAGTGCACCAGACGATCACTATTTTTAAGAGTAACAATGGTATGAACAGACTTTATTAGATTTTTTATTATCAAGAACATAAAAGTCTATGCATTTCTGTTTTGTGTGAACTTCCATCTCTCTTTCATTATTCACAAAATCTTTGTTGTGGTCTGGTGGTGTTTGCCAGTTAGAAACTACCTTAACTTATGTGTATTCCAATCTGTACCAGATAAAGTAAATTTACCTATATAATAATATTTTTCAAAATATAAAAACTGCCACAATGTACCGTGTACCATCAGAACATATATTTTTCATAGCTCTTCATCATAATTCATATCTGGTAATTCATGCACTGTTCTATCGTTAATTTCAAATCTTGTGTACATGTTGCATCTTGTATGTAATTTTGTTTCTTTTGTTTATTTTACTGATGAAAATAGCCTCAATAAATTGCGTTGTGATATTGAGAATAAATGAACCTTGAATCTTGATGATGCATGAATAGCTTTTTGAAGATCCTTTTTTCTCACACTAAAGGTTCTTCCTAAAGGAAACCCGAATTTCAAGTTGAAAGACGTAACACATTCATGTCTATGGGTCATGTAACCACTGAATTAATTTTACTTTAGATCATACTCTTTTGATTGTAGGCACTGTTGAAGAGCGCGGCATCTTAAAATGGCAAAGTGGTCAGACAGATGCAGATACAAACTCCTTAGAGTCAGTGTCAGACATTTATGATCTGCCGTTCGGAATGGAGTACATTCGGCGCTCAAAAATATGCCGCTACCTACCGTTTAGTCCAACATTTCGAGGTTTCAAACATGCTTGACGGATCATGGACGGAATATTCAGATTCAGATTATTCTTTATTGACATGACGATGTCAAGAGATTTGTTTTCCTTGTTACATATGAGTAAAAAATTTTTAAAAAACTACATAAAAAAAAAGTTAGTTAAATATATATCAAACACATACAAATTAATAAACAAAAACAAGGTGAGTTACAATAAATATATAAATATTCAGTGTATACAGTTCAGCGGTTGAAGTCAGTTGAATATGGAGACATCATCTTTTAATTTACTTTATATACTTTATTTGGACAGCAGAAGGTCGGGGTTCGAATACCGGTTAGAGAACCTATTTTTTCACACTCGCAGATTCCTCGTTTACATAGTGCTATATCATAATGACTTATATACTGAATATTAAATATATTTATATGTACTGTATATGTATGTAATGGTAGCTATTGTAAAGGAAGATTAAGTATGGGTGTAGATCTTTTAATATTTACATCGAGAGTAGTAATACAGCACTGTAGTAATAATGTTTAGCTCTACACTAGTACCTAATTTATATTTTATTCATTTTGCATTGGTTTTTTTTTTTCATATTTTATGCTATGGCAAAAAAATTTCCTTCTGGATAATAAAGAGTTTTTGAAGTTGAATTTGTTCCTAAGTTTCATAATATGACGATAGGAATTGACACTTATAACTGATTAATTTCGCTATTGGCAGCTTTAGCCCATTAGCCTTAATGAAATAAACAACTCAAAATAAATATAAAAAAAGGAATCACAAAGCCAAATGATTGGTCAATATTCAGAACTTTCCTTTGCTAGTAACGTTAAAAGACCGAAGGCAAAACCATATTCATTGCAATGAAACAGCCATTTTACTTGGAAAGCATCTTGATAAAAACAAGTTAGGAGATTGTTCACTTCCTAAATCTACCAATGCCAACACAGGTCACAGACGATGGTTTGTATTAAATGCTCTGCACCTCAATCAGCAGTACTTCTGATACTGTAGCGCTCTGTCTACACTACCAAATTTTATGTAAAAAAAAAATGCGATGTGCCCATATATGGGCACGATGATGTCATATCACAATTTAAAATTGTATCAAAAAATGTTGGTCTTTTTTTGATGTCGTCTGTCAAAAGGTTTTCATTTTTTTTTTTTGACCAAAAAGCAAACACTACAAATCACACCAACCAATTGGATTGTTCAGTTATTTATTTTTTATTACTGCATTTAGATTTACTGTATATTTAATATCATCTTTAATTTAGTTTTGTCTCATTTGTATAGGCTTATCTTGCTTTGTATTGATTTTTAGTGATATTTTTAATGTATCGTGAGTTTTGTTTTATTATGATCTGTGATCCACTTTTGAAACCATTGCTATGTTACTGAAAGTGTTACCACATAAAAGACAAAAATAAATAAATAAATTTGATAATTCAGTTTTATCAAAATACATCACATTTTTTGAGGCAGTTTGATGTATTTTAATGATATTGATGGGATGCATTTTTGATTAAATTTGATAGTGTAGACAGAAATTCAGAGCAAGAAACATTTATCAAGAAAGCATCTTTTATTGTCACACTGATAAACTTTCTCAACACAGCAGTAAACAGTTACGATCGATTGCTTATGTCAACCGTGAGACGTGTTACAATTCAGAAAAAAATCTTAATGGTTTAAATTTCAACAAAACAAGAAATATGTTGCCATTGTTGTCAACAAATAAATTCCACACAGACACAACACAAACAACTTAAACAGCTAGTATTAAAATAGTTTTCATTAATTTATTTTTTCATGGCCAGCGAATTTACAAATTATCATGGCCAACCTAACCTAGTTTGGGTCTCAAAATATATTTTAACACTAGGATTTATGACTTCCTAAAAATGGTCATCTTTTTCTCATCTTATTTAAACAATAAAATCACAATTATGAATCAATAATCACTTTTAATTTTGCTCTAATTACTGCACAATCTAGCACCAATACAATACACTGCTAAAAAAAACTCTGTATGTAAAAATAAATTATATAAAAAATATTGTACAAGAAGATTTCAAAAGAAGAATTTCTAGAATATGAACTTGATCACTGAAATATTTATACATTATTAATGTAGTTTTGTGTTGACATAGATGAATATCAATACAGTTTGACTCCATCTTAAGGCCGCTTTAAATTCGAGACCACTTTCAAAATACCATCTAACAGTCTTAATTTTTTTAAGTACAAGCCAACCGTATATATTATTGGAGATCAAAGTCCACTGTACATTTTCAGGTCCCAACTGTGATTTTGAATTGTAGGGCAAACTGTACATCATTTAGTTCACTTACAACAGCAACTTAAGTACACTCCCCAATTACAGAAAGGGATTATGGACCTGTTTCTGCTGAGCAAAAAAACACATGTTTTTAAAAATTTATTAAAAAACATGTTATTTTCCCAGCAGAAATAGGCCAAAAAACAAAAACATGGTTAGGAATGCATTCTAAAAAAGCAAGTTTTAACACGCATTTGATAGGGTTGGCATTCAGAAAACATATGTTTTGTGGTACACTTTTCAGCTGCAACGCAATACAGCATTAGTTATGAGCCATTAGTAACCCAAATTGACCTCTCCGTTTGTTTAATCGTTCGTTTGTGGGAAATTTGGGCCGAAGAAAAAAATGTGGACAGACGAAATAACAATACAGTATTTGTTTCGCGTCGATGGGGATGAGAAATACATGAGTTTTCAACCACAACATAAATGAAACCAACAGGATGACATGATTTAGGCTTTTACCATTTCATACTTTCACGGTGTGTTTACTACTTCTTTAGCAGCATGCGCTTTTAGCTCACAGGAAGTAAGGTCAACTTTGACTTCCGCAGGTGATCGTCATTATTAGCTCCGCCCACCAACCAATGCTCACATTACCATGTTTTTTATTAGTTTTTTTTTGCTGAAAACGTACAAAGCATTAGGTCAAGCGTGTCTAGTTAAGTATTGAAGTATAAATGCTATATTTGGTCTTATTTATTAAAAGAAAATTGATAAAATAAAAGTATATTCTTAGAATGAAATGTAACATATGCTGGGGAAAAAAATAAATTATTTAATACTGTATAAAAATTGGACCACAAAAATGCAGCATTTGTTGACAATATTATTTGACAAACTAGTACTAACGATAGATATGTAAATATACACACAAAAATCTGCATCATAAATTGTTTTGTTATTTAAAAAGAGGGCACTCTCTGAGGATAATGTTTACAGTGATCTAATTTAAAACTATCAAAAATAATATATACTGTGTAATATATACACGTGTAACCGTGTAAATTAAGAGAGCGCCCTCTGGAGCTGGTATTTTTTAAAGGCACTGTTGAGGTTCAATACAAAATTATTAAAAATAGTGATAATTTGAATAATACTTTCCAACTATTGAGTGTAAATTTAAAAATTTAAAAAACTAGAAAAAAATCACTAGTATTTTAAAGTTCTTCATGTAGTAGGCTGTTACCACTGAGACTCTGGCCATAGTGTGTGACATGACTTCCAGCAAACACTTCATAATGATTAAGAACCTCCTCCATGCTTAACATACCATCCTGGTCGTCGTCTGCTTCTTTTAAAAGGTGCAAAGCCTGATGGGAAAAGTAAAATGTTTGAAAATACCATGAAATTGTAAATTTCCTCAAGTATTAAGTCTTTTTATAGTTAATGGTGAGTTGTATTTGTTAGTCTTTATTATAACACACCTAAATAGATCCCAGTCATTTGATTGGTTGATATTGTACCACGTGACTTTAGTTATTTTGCTCATTTCAGCGCTAATCGTTAAAATTTTGTTCCACCATGCATTATTTTTCCATCCAAATCGTTCATTGCACCATTGCTTATGAATACGAAAAGACTTCAACATAATACAATCTTTGATTGGTTAAAAAGATGCAGAACTGACATTTTCTGGAGGGTTAAATCCATGAAATGATGTCACGCCACCTATACTCTTTCACAGGCCTACTTCTTACTGAACTGTAAACAGCTGTAAAGTATTTTCATGGATGATACCTCAAAAAACTTGCGCAAAATCTTTGCGGAATTCGGCTCTTATTTTCTGAAATGCAGGCCAGGCTAGCTAGGACTAGGCTGTATCGATCTATTTAGGTGTGTTATAAAACAAATAATGAATATTTTGTATTCGTACAATGGAAAGAATTTTCAAAATTGACTGCTCCATTCAATAAAACAGTCAATATTTCAACTCATAAAATATTCTCCCCTTGCATTCATAAACATTCATTATTTGTATAATATTATTACATTATGGAACACATGCTCAGTTTCCATAAGGGGCGTTCCATAGTATAAAAATGGACCTTTCTACTAAGCCTTGCCCTTTGGAATTGTTCTTAAGGTGGCACAAAATGACATGCATGTATGTTTGTAGGACAACATGTGTTCCTGACCCTGCTTTACACTTGAACCCCTGATTTTTCAATTGTAACTTCAAAGCTTTACTACATTGTGCCACATTCTTCTATCAATACAAAAAAAAAATCAATAATCAAGAAAACCCCACACAGGCCTACTAGTAGTACCCGAGCAATAATAAAATTTCAAAGAATGAAAGTAAATCTAGATTGTCATAATAATGACAATTTTTTAAAGCCATTGTATTTACCTCATCTACAGCATTGTCTTTATATTTTGGGGAAACCCAAGCATAGATCTCATCCCCCTTTAGTATACCATCCTTATCAGCATCTAGGATGGTCTTGAATAAATCTGTTTCTTGCTTTACCCAATCTGGAAGATTACCATCACCTAAAGATAAAAGGAAATAGCTTAAATATATGATCATATTTGCTTAAGCATTGCAATTTGTATTACCGTATTTGTTTGAATAAATGCCCCAATGGCTTTTTTATTTTTGGTGTAAAATGGATAGTGTATGCTCAAATATACACCCCTTAATTTCACCGTAAATATGGGACTACAACACATATTAAAGTCAAAATGTGACTGCATGATAATAAAGACTTAATGATCCCAACCAGGTTAGAAAAAAAAATGTAATTCTGCAGGAGCAGAACAGTAACAGAATGTGTTGAGAATGATTTTTATTCAAATAAATACAGTATTTATATTTTTATTAGCTTTATTCATTAATTTCCAATGTATAATTGTCATTTGCATATCATCAAATATACATCGGAAATGTTTTTGCTCTGAGACACCATTACTTAAAATACGTACATTAAACAAAAACAAGAAATACACATTTACCGACTACTCTTCCACCAATGTAAAGATACAAATATAAACATGTTTAAATGGTTTTTTTTATATTATATTATATTAACAGTAAACATCAACATAAATATGTACAAAAGCTGTAACATCTTTTCAACACTCGTTTAATTTACAAATACAGTAGAACACCTGCATTTGGACACCCTATTAAGGGGACAATTTTTCAAACACAAAATGAGGAAAGTATACTCTTCTTTTAACACTACAGCCAATCCTTATTTAGGGAACATCCTTATTACGGGGACACTATTTTTGGTCCTGAAAGTGTCCCCGTAATAGGTGTTCTACTGTAACTGGTTCTAGAAGAGTCTGGTTTCATAACTAGTGGTTCGAAGGTAGCACAGAATGACATCTTCCATGGTTTCTTATAAATTAGATAATCGTGGGTGGAATAAAAACTGTCCATTAGGGTCTCTGAATTGTAATGTACAAAGTACAAAGCAATAAACTGTTCATTCATATTTCCCTATCCTACCACATACTTGGTTTATAGTAGTCACCAAGGAACTCTTCCAAGTCAACTCCTTCATTATTATTGTAGTCCAAATCTAGAAGCACTTGCTCAATGACAATATCCTGAGAGAATTGAAAATACCAAAATAATAAAAACAGTACGATTGGTGTACAGTACATCAAAAAATTAGTTCTAAAAGCACCTGTTTTGAAGCTAGGATCCTGAAGAAAATAATATTTTGATGTTGTACAAATGATTTTCTTAGACATTCAAGGGGTATTTGATGAAAAACTTGGGAATGGTTAATAAGATAGAGATGTTTGAATATTTAAAAACTTGGTGAGGTGGGTAAATAGTCCCCTTTTCCCCAGTAATCAGAAGTGTAATTATAGAGAGTGAGGAGGTTTGTGATCATGTGCAGTATATCACTCCTGAGGTTATATTGTACTGCATTACCCAGGGGAAGATTTGGGGGGGGGCAGGGCCCAACTTTTGGAAGGTACAGTAAAAAAAAAAAGGGGAAAAAAAAAAGGAAAAGAAAAAATTGATCGCCCAAAACGCCTCAGAGGTTATTTTCGGGTGTCTAGAACATGAAAAAAATATCTATCTTGATCGGCGGCCCCCCCCCCCCTTTCGGCCCCCCTTTTGGACATCTCAGGATCCGCTCCTGTTACCTACCTTCATGTGATCAGCAATCCGTGGATTATGGAAGGGCAGGTACTCCTCTTTATTTAGTGCACCATCACCATTAAGGTCTGAAGACTTGAACCGCTTCTCATTTCGTGTGATCTCCTAAAACATTATTAAAGACATTAATGAGTTTAAGAACTGTTATAACATAGTATTTATGCAGGCAGAATACACTTTTATTGAGGACAAACTAAATTGTATATATTGGATAATTACAGATGGTACACTATCTAATCTTGGTATATTAGATAGTATAGTTTTCGTGATATAGATAATTATTATATACTGCATACATAGATTCTAAGCATCTGATTGGTTCAAAAGCAGGCAATAACTTTAATCATCACTCCTATGATGTAGGTTTGAATGATAGTTCCCAGGGAAAAGTACTATCACCCTAGTATTTTTGCCCTTTGGCAATGTGTAATCTCTTGGCTGGCACCTACTGTACAACATTGCTCTGTAAGTAGGACGGTAAAGGGTGACGCGACCTCTACGATGCTGAGAGAGATGGACTCTTTGATTGCCTAGACCTAGGAAGTAAGCTTAGGCCTACTGGTGTGTAATCTTTTCATTACTTTTTTAAGTCTCACAGAATTTATGTATGAGGTATATAAAACAAATATTGATATCCACATCACCTCAGGGCAATAGATTTCACCATTCCCCTTATGAGCAGTCAATATTTGTGTACTACTACCCAAGTACTGTACTGTATTAATCTATAGAATGCCCTTGGGAGCAATGTCTACTGCAAATGACCAACCTTCTGGTAAGAGTACTCAGGCTTATGGTCTTCTCCAGGCACAAAACCAAACACAAATTGTAGGTACTCATCCCAAGAAACCATACTGTCTTGGTTCTTGTCCTGCATCTCAAAGATTTCTGCAGATTCATCTCTATCAATCTTTTTGAAAGACTCTATCAGCCAGTTCACCATCTCATCTAAAATAATAATAATAATAATAATAATAATAATAATAATAATAATAATAATAATAATAATAATAATAATAATAAAAATATAGATACAGTAACAATAATAATAATAATAATAATAATAATAATATTATGAATTCTATAGTGCTCATATCCATTTTTAAATGCTTAAGGCCCTTAAGAGAATAAGCTGCCAATAAGGAAAAAAACCTTAAAATAATATTATCCAGTGAATTAAGCCAGTAAATGTCCTAGGAACTAAACCAGAAAAGCAGGAGTCAGCATTAGGACCCTGTTTTAAAAATGGTTTAACAAAAGAATATGAATCTAGAATATTCCAGGTGGCAGCACTGTCTTGAGTGCCTTTTTTAAGGTCGATGTACAATTAATGGTGTGAAGGGAAATTGGTAGTCTGTTCTACAGTTTAGAGGCTGCAAATGAAATAGATCAATTTCCCCGTGAGATAAATGAACGTGGTTCAACAAGCAATGAATTGCCGCAGGAGTGAAGACTGCATGTAAAAAAACCTTTATTCTACTCAAATGTAGTACTAATAATTTATGATTAGTCATAAAAATTACATAGGACTCTAGTCACTGCAGAAAATTAAGAGTTGGCTGGTAGCCATTTTGAGGGTGGGTGATAAAATTGGTAAATGCTATAAAATATTATAAGAGTGTATTTTAAGGTTATGCAAGGTGGGTAATAAAGGTGGAAGGCAATGAAATTAGCTTTAGACTTGGTGGAAAACTTCAAGGCTGGGTGTCCCTGTTTGGGGCGGATACAGGGGGGTGTGGATTCTCACGCACCCCCTACCGCCAGATCCTGCATTTTCCCCAGGCTGCCTACCTCCACCTACCATTACTACATCCCCCTATTGATATGGCTTTGATCACCAACCTGTTGACACATAGCTGTCATTGTTCTTATCTATCCTCTGTAATATCTTTGCAAGTTTTTTCTTGCTTTCACTCTCAGTCAGCTCTTCAAAAGCTTTTGCCGCTTTCTGAAATAAATTAAAGACTTTGTAAATCATGTCTGCTTTTTGTATCCTCGATTTAGTTGACTATCTTATACACCAATGGTTAAATATATTACTTAATTACCGTAATCAAAGACTTCTGATGGTTTGCTTTCACGACAAATGCGACCTGCCAATTTTGTTAGCATCTGATGCGCGAGACAACAAAAAATGTGTATATAGCGTTCTCTTTGTAAAAATCATGAAATAGAGCACCTTCTATGTTGTTTTTTTTTTTATTTTAGTGGTGGAACTGCTACTGAAAACAATTGTCGGTCAGTATAACTTTGTTAAAAGAAGTTTATGTAGCCTGTATTTACATTCAAATGACGAATTCACTTCATTTTTATGAATTTTAGGGTATAAATTGGCCTATCATTTCATTATAAAATTGTTATGATGCGCGAGATATTAAAATGTAGGCATGAGACTCATGCATTATGCATGAGAGATAAGCAATGGAATAATATTTTTTTAATTCAATATTCCGACGCTCAAGTTAATGCAAAATGAGCATTACGTTAATTTCAAAATTATTTTTGTTATGATTTTTTGTCATTTTCAGGGACAATACATTGAGGATGACTATTTCTCTCTTAATTATTATAGTGTCTTACCTCTCCACCTAGAAAAGCTTGATGGTCGTATTCTACATTATGCTCCCCATCGGTGTTATGGTCAGCTAAGTTGGAGTTGTCATTTGGTTGTTTCACAGCTAAACTTGCAGTGATCATTACAACCAAAAACAGACTGGCAAATCCATATTGAATCTTCAGCATTCTGAAAAAAAGAATATATATAATTACTACAATTTTAAAAACCAAAATTGGATTTCAATTTTCTATACTATTAGTGTTTTATTTCATCAACATTGATTGGATTACAATGCATATGGCAAAAATTAGGCATAGAAATCCACATGCATTTTGGGAAAATAAGGGCTGATTTCAACACATATTTTGCTGAAAATTAGGCTTTGACATAATCTTAATATATATACACTGTATATACAGTACGTATATATATATATATATATATATAGGGTATATATTCTGCGCACCTATTTTCCTATAGTGATTTTATGCGCAAATTTCAGCTGGTTTTTGAGGTAAAATCGGTGCAATTGAAAAGCTTTACAGTATGGTATGGCTGAAGAGGTGGGTAATCGGGAGCGGTGGTTGGCGGAGAGGTTGAGTATGTGGGGAAGGAGGCCAACAATTACAGGACCTAACTAACCTATTGAGGAAAAAAACAAATCATTGAGGAGAAAAAAAAAATCCCTATGCTTTGCCAATGAAACTCCCACTCTTATCCTATGTTGGGAACAATGGGATGGGGACATCAGACCCCCCACCCCAGAGGTAGGGCTAGGCCTAGATACCAAGCTAGGCCTCCTACTAGCTACAGAGAAGCTAGCCTAGGCCTGACCACTGCCGAGGGCCTGATTTGTTAGGTTAGCTAGGCTAGGCTGGGATCAGACTTCCTGTCTATCCATTTTGTAATTTTATAACAACATTTAGCCTAATGAGCCTAGGCTACAGTATAAAATTTGAGGCTTTTAATTTATTCTTAGGGTATTCATTATGAACATACATGTATTATTTTTCTCGGCTAGATACGAATCCTACCGCTAGGCCTAGATACTCAACCTGTCCGTCCTCCTCCAGTGACAATCTACCTTGTGTGGGTGTTGAATGGATAGAGATCCTGCTGCAGACTGGCAGCGAGACATAAGTCAGCCACGCTTTGCAAAGCAGCCAGGCTTTGCAAAACAGTGACGTAGCTTGGCTCTTCCATTCTTAGCATAAGGGGAACTTTTTTTTAAGGTAGTATCGCGTCATTTTACGTCAAACCATAACAATCTGCGTCAATGGAGGTAAATTTGCGTCAACATACGTAAATTCCCGTGAAATTAACGTCAACACTAAAAAAAAATCTGAGAGTTTGAGGTGGTGTATACGATACGGACGTACATTTAAACGGTGATTCCATTTAAACTAGGTAAGACTTAACAAATGCTTTAATTGGAAATGGAAACATAACACTTAACAATGGCTTATCTTTTTTTACGCAAGGCTTAGCCTAAGCCTTAGGCTAGGCCTTGGCCTCGAGGCCTAGGCTCCTAACTAGCTAGGCCTAGGCCCTAACTAGCTAGGCCTAGCTAGCCTAGACTCGGGCCTAGCCTACCTAGGCCTAGGCTAGCTATAGGCTAGCTACTGGATTACGTCCGGTTCGGCCGTAAACTTGTTCGGCCGTAATATATTTGTATGGAACGCCAAATAGGCACAAAGCTGTGTATATGCTGTGTGGTGTGGTTAACGGGAATCACCGTTAACAGTAACCTCCCTATTGTAATCTATTGCTACTGTATCCATGATTTCTTGGGGAAAACAGTGGATTTTATTAGGTTTGAGTAAGTTAATAATGTGTTTGCAAGTTAATAATATTAATACTTTAATGATTTAACATTATTACGTTATTATGTTGATAATCAAACCAATTGATTTTATGATTCTTATACAGAATGCTATCGATGTTTATATTAATATTATTGATACGCTTTACATATAGTTGCATTTACATGTTGATTAATATACTGCTAAACCAGTATTTATCTCAATATTATTGAAGCTAATTATTGATGCTT